CAGGGAATTCAACGCAAAACCGTTGGCATGAGCAGAATTCAGTTTCCACTTACCCTGTAATACCCTACAATTACAAGTATTAAAATTGTGAACCAAAGAGTACAGTGCAGAAGATGAGGTTGTAGTCCGCCAAAAGTCTTCCTTAGGTATACAGACCCACCACTCATTATGACGGCACATCACCGCCAGTTGGATGCCTGCTGCATGAAAGAGGTCCCTGACATCGACGACCTTGATGAGTGCTGTTTCACTGGCTGCACTTAGCGATGAGCGGTGGTAATGGTGCCTGCTTGGAACCGGCTGCCCGGACATCGACGGCCTTGGTGAGTTCAAAGTGCGCTGTTCCAGTGGCTGCACTTAGCGATGAGCGGTGGCAATGGTGGCACAATGGAACCGCCTGCTGGATGAGCACTGGGTGTCTGGAGAGAGAATGCTGCTCCTCCGTGGGCTGCTTGTAGATAGCAACGCACGGCGGCAAGTTGACTCGATCCATAGGGCTGTCCCCTCGTATAGTACAGGCCTGGCCATGGACGACGGCCATGCGGATCCAAGGCAACGCACGCTGGCGTACTGTAAAGGTGACCGATTAGTTGGGTCTCTCGTGCTGACCGTTGAACGCGGCATCACATGAAAACGGCGCGTGTAAACGTGTGGATTTTGGAGGCTGTGACATACATGTACACAATACCTGAGTCAGTCCTGCCAGAGAAGGAGCAGCCGAGCCCTGCAAGACATTCCCAGTCGATCCGCAGCAAATGACGTCATCGATCAGCAAATGGCATCATGACCCGCGAGGAAAACGAGACCATAAGATGAATGACGCAGTCTCGCAATGGCCTGCAGAAGGGATCCACCCACACAAGAAAATCCGATGGTGATTCTTCCTTTACGTAGGCCTATTACTACAAGAAAAATATACAAGGCCTACCAGTAGTTAGCCTAAAAGTAATAAGCTGACGTAGGATGCCACTAGCGATCAATTCGAGAAAACATCCGCGACATAGTAAATTCCAAGGCACACATTTTTTTCGGTGGTACTGCTGGCACCTACTGTCCAAAAGCAAACCTTTGCCGCCTTTCCCATAACGGGGAGAAAGGGACGCTGAAAATTGCATTTTCATTGGCCTAAAGTTAACAATTTGCATAAGGACACTTCGTATCAAAGGAACTCGCGAACCCAAACACGACAGCCCAGTCACTTGATCATTCACAGCCACGCTTACATGACCACAAAACAATAAAAACCAAAGGGCGCCCTCGCGCGTTTTCAGACTTTTATCTTTTATGCGATAAAAGAATTTTATATTGTCACAAGTATTTTGCAGGAGTGCATCATAGTCTATGCACCATGGCACCGCTACTCATAAGTGTGCAAAGATTATGTGTTTCAGAATTTGAAAGTGGGTTAGTGCTTGGAGGCCTAACAAGATTTGTCCAGGATTGTCTGAATTGGTTCACACTTATGTATGTACCATGTCAGGGGGTGTGTTGTGTAGAGTCGGTTTTTTTTTTCAAAATTAAGAGGTCTGGAACTCGACTGGGTCGGTCTTATCTCGACAGAAGGACAAACTATTGGGAACGCCTTGTTAAACTAATCTGATATCAATGTTGGAGTGCCAAGGGGACAGTTTTGGGTCCACTGCTATTTTCTGTATTTATCAATGATATCACGACTGTGATTGAACATTCTGAAAATGTCTTTTATGCTGACGACACAGCAACTGTTTTATTCAATTAAAAATATTCACCAGGACCGAGGACCTGTCGAAAATATCCACTTAGCTCAAAAACAACAGTTTACAACTTTATACTA